TATATTTTCTTTCTTATATTTTATTAAATATATGGTTCACTTTGATCTAACATTGTTTCTTATAATTAAATTATTAAATAATATCAATAAATTTAAAGGATAAAAGTTATAACACCTGTTGGCATGACAAAGTTTCCACTGATGTGGCAGCTTTTACTAGATGTGATAAAATCACCGTAGATTTCAAAATTTTTACTTTCTCTAAGTGCCAATTAAAAATAAAAATTTTATTAAAATACCGCTGTTAAATCATACAATTAAATATTTAGGCTTTCAAAAATAAAATCATGTGAGATTAGATTTTTACATAAATTTACAAATACATAATAAAATTTGGAATGATTTTCTTGGGATACAAATAATCATTTTGAAATTTGTTTAATCAAATTGTGAAGTATTTTCGTATTGTACAGTGGATATTGCATGATTGGAAAGATGAAGATTGTGTCAAGATACTACAACGTTGCAAGGAAGCAATTCCTCCTCCTCCTAAAGAGAAGGGTGGGTGGAAAAGTGATTATAATCGACATGGTGGTTGGTTTGCACTTCAACTCTCAGACTTCGTTGCAGACACAACTTCTATTTGACTTGCACATGATGGCTTCTTGCATGGGAAAAGAAAGAGACGAAAGTGAATGGCGCAATCTATTTGTCACCGCAGGTTTTAAAGACTACAAGATAACACAATATGTTGATCACCTGAGATCTATTATCGAAGTTTATCCTTGATTAATTGTTATTTGGTTCCAAGTCTTATTTTTAGCATATATTACAGTGCTTATTATGATTACTTTAACTTGTTTTTCTTTCAAGGTAAGAGTTAGAAAAAAAAAATGAAGGATTATGTACTTTTGGCTATGGTTGAGCATTGTGATTGTTGCTATTTTTTTCCAAAAAAATCTCATATAAAATTATTAAAAAATTTGTGATAAAATATATGGAGCTATTTGCATACTATAGAACTAATCAAGTCTAAAGCAAAATATATTTTTAATCTAACAAAGGATTTCCATAATAAATTGGATGCAAGTAAGTGAAGATAATCGGCAGGTATGAACTATATCTAATAATATTGGTATTCGTGAGTAGTACAAAATTATTTGAAATGAATATCACGAT